CATATCCATGTTTCCATTCTGAGGTCAGCACATCCTTGAAATAAACTGGTTGGTTTAGCTCAGGAGTTTTGTCTGTCATCCAATGTCTCTCCGCAGCTGTTGTTCCTTTCTCATCAGCATTGAGAAAATTCAAGGTTAATAAAGCACTATGCAGTTTATTTCTAGGAGTCATTGTTACCTGTTGCTGTTTATTTAGCATATCCTTTAAGGTTCGATTGGATCTTTCTATGACTGCTTGGCCTGTGGGATTGTGTGGTATACCTGTAACGTGCTTTATATTGTAATAAGCAAAGAACTGTCTCATTTTATTGGAGACATATGCTGGGGAATTGTCTGTCTTAATTTGTACAGGTATTCTCATGATGGCCATAACTTCTAATAGGTGTGTGATCACAGAATCAGCCTTTTCAGAACTCATAGGAGTTGCCCATTGAAATCCTGAACAGGTGTCAATGGTGTGATGTACATACTTTAATCTTCCAAATTCTGCAAAATGAAACACATCCATCTGCCAAATTTCATTTCTTTGTATACCTTTTGGATTGCTCCCTGCAGGTAATGGAGTTTGGTTATAGATGGAACAAGTAGGACATTTTTTCACAATAAAATTTAAAATCCTATTGTGTAGTTCAAATGTCTTGCCTTGACAAATCTAATGAATTGATTAATGGGCCTTTATACTAATAAAAAAACTGAGCATATGTAAGGTAAATGAAAGTTTATTGCTCAGTGTACCTGTTAGCATTATTTTTAATAACCATCTGCCTAATGTTTTGTTTTTGACTTACAGATAATCTCGTAAAGGACATACTTTAGATTCACACAAAGTAATGAGCTAATTTACTGCTTTTAGAATAGTTTAAACTCACCTCACTAAAGAAAAAGTCAGTGAAACCTCTTTACAAAGTATGTATTATGTAAACAGAGATCACTTGTCTAGTAATTGAATTATCTTAACATCATATATCAGAATTTTATTGTATTTGAAAGACAAAATTAAAAATATTTTTAATGTTTTCATATTGTTCCAGAGTTCTAAAAAGAAACTTAGGGTTGATAAAGATAATAGGAATGATTTAGCAGAAATAGAAACATAATGTTGAATAGCAGCTACATAGCAGCCATGGTAACAGACAGGGGTTAAGTGGAAGAGCCAAATGTAACCCTGGATTTGTGAGTGAAGTTATAGAGCTAATGGGAGGATGTTGGTGCCACCTAACTCTTAGATGCTAAGAGCAGCTTGACTACTGGACATACCTTGAGGCATTCAGGCAGTGCCTCTTCGTGTGACAGCTTAAAGTGGAGTCTACTGTGATCTTCAGATGACAGGAAGATAGTCTAGTGCTGAACTGAAGAAAAGTGATGCAATGTTACCCTCTGATTAGGATTATAGCACTGCTAGCCCAGGTGCTTCTGGTGATAGACATTGTCATTTAAACTCAAGTTCCTTAGAGGTTATTATTTATGTGTAAATATATATATTTTTGACTAGGTCTTAAAACCTTGTTAATATGGTTGCCTACTCCAGACTCCATACCTTGTAAAAGTTTAGCATCAGAGGGGCCTTTCTTCAAGTAATGGACGTTCCATTTATGACACAGTTAGCTCTATGGCACATAGACATTCAGAATCTGGGCCATGGATGTTCATATGTACATGACAGGTAAAACTGTGAGGAACTTAAAGTCAGATCCAACTTTCTCCTTGCTTACCTTAGATCAAGTCTGTCTCCTAGTTCATAGCTTTAACTCTCTGAAACATCTAGTAAAACTCAGCTGTGTTATCCATATCTCTGTTTTATTTTATGCTTAGTCATATTTAAATCCAGAATTTAATAGTCTACTCAATAAATAAATGAGATGCATGAATATAAAAATTATAAGGAAAAGGAGAAAGTAAACTATTTATAACGTTATTATATTACTAACAATTCAAAATGTATTAGTTGCTTATAAATTGGTGTAGCTGTATAGTTAGAAAACGTCTGTGCTCTGTAAATCGGGAGACTGGACTTGTCAGCAGGCTGGCTTTACTGCTGTTTTCAGCACAGTTGCCATTGTGGCAGGTTTTTGCATTAATTGGAAAGTTGGTAAAACATGGCTCTAAGTCTCCGTGTGTCAGATGCATAGGACACATGCTTTCTGCATGGGAGTGGTGTTGGGGACGGCACTAGCACTGGGTGACAGTTGCTTCAGCCTGAACAGCTGCGAGATGTGGTGAGACCCGGTGATGGTTCATTCTTTCTTTAGAGGTTTTTTAGTTTGGAATTTTGATTGACTGTCACATTCTATCATTGTCATAACTTAAAATAATTCAATTAGTTTTTTAAAACATGATCTGATATTCTAGGGCTTTTCTTTTTTTTTTTTAAAAAAAAAAAAGAGAAGCAAGTAAGGAATTGTAAAGATTTGGGACTTCTTTGTGGCATTATGAAAATAAATAAGCCAACGTGAAAGGGGAAAAAAAAAGCCCGGCTAGCTCAATTGGTAGAGCATGAGACTCTTAATCTCAGGGTTGTGGGTTCGTGACCCACGTTGGGCTCCAGATATTGGTGAAATTATTAAGGCCACTCCACGTATTTAAAAGGAAGATTTATTTAGTGGGTGACTTACAAATGAAGGAATAGGTAGATTGCAGGGGTCTGGGGAAGGTATATCACAGTCCAGCCATGTTCTCTGGAGCTCTGCTCAGTCAATATCCACCATCTAGGGTCCAGGAACAGAGAGAGTGCTCGCCCATCCAGGTCTCCGGTCTCCAGGTGCCTCCCTTGGCCCCGCCTCGTAGGCGTGACAGTTGCCAGAGTCTCAATGGGGGTTGGAACTTCCAGATCCAAGCTGGAATGGCTACCCACTACAGGTTGCACTTAGGTACTTAGGAATATGAATGTTACAATTAATGAACAAAGAGGTCATGAATTTGTAAAAGATCTAGAAGGGATGCCTTTGTTTCTATTGCTGTGTTGAAACACCATGACCAGAGCAACGTGGGGAGGAAAGGATTTATTGACTTACATTTTCACATCACTGTTCATCGCTGAAGGAAGCCAGGACAGGAACTCAAACAAGACAAGAACCTGCAGGCAGGAGCTGATGAAGAAGTCATGGAAGAGTACTGCTTACTGGCTTGCCCTCCTGGCTTGCTAGGCCTGCTTTCACATAGAACCCAAGACCACCAGCTCAGGGGTGGCACTACACACAATGGATTGGGCCCTCCCACATTAATCATTAATTAAGAAAATGCCCTACAGGCTTGCCTGCAACCTGATCTTATGGAGGATCTTATGGATCTGATTTTCTCAATTGAGGCTCCCTTCTCTCAGACGACTCTAGCTTGTGTCAAGTTGACATAAAACTAGCCAGCACAAGGGGTAAATGTGAGGTTTTGGAAGGATGAAAGGAAAGGGGAAAGTGATATAATTATATTAATCTCAAAAAATAAAAGAAATAATTTTTAAAAAGTTCTAGTACCAACCAAGAGAAACCTTCTTACAAAACTCCTAGAGCAATACAGAGTGTTTCTGTTGTCCTGGTTGCCTCCCAGAAGTTTCAGGCCAGACCCTATTGCTGAAGACACCACACAATTTAGATGCAGAACTCAGGGCATTTGAGCTGGAACAGATCCTAAAGCCTTATCTCTGAGACTAGCTTTCTTAGTACCAGAAGGTTGTATGAAAACTGCAAAAATAAAAAGCAAGCAATAGTCCTACCCAGCTGTGTGCTGATGAACCCTAATAATGACCAGCAAGATAAGATATTCCTAAGGGTAAAATAGTGGCACTCATATCTTGGCAATAACCAACAGCTGTCTAATTGGCCACAAGGCCTTATCAACAGGAGGGAAATCACATGCTTTCTTTTGTAAACCTAGCCAACCACACATAGCTAGCGAGACCATGGATCTTAGAAGAGAACCTACAACCAATACTTTACTGAACCAGCATAATTCCTAAAGGCTTTCTAAATACTCATCCTTCTACCCACAGATAAGTGCAGCTCTCACCCCTCATCAAAGAAGCTTCTTTTTGCATCAGATGGAGGCTACTACAGAGATCCACTACAGGTCAAAATGCAGAGAGCAACTGACGGTGGTGAGCCAGCCCCAAAAGATTCATCTAAAATACAATGCCTTCATCTGCTGTGGGATGTTCTGTATGTCAGATGTGTTGCTCTGATTGGTTAATAAATAAAACACTGATTGGCCAGTAGCCAGGCAGGAAGTATAGGTGGGACTAACAGAGAGGAAAATTGAGAGAACAGGAAGGCAGAGAGAGAGAGACACTGCCAGCCGCCACCATGGGAAGCAAGATGTAAGGTACTGGTAAGCCACGAGCCATGTGGCAACTTATAGACGAATAGATATGGGTTAATTTAAGATATAAGAACTAGATAACAAGAAGCCTGCTGTGGCAATACAGTTTGTAAATAATATAAGCATCTCTGTGTTTATATTATTAGTGGGCTGTCGGACTGCTGGGGCTTGGCAGGACCCGGAGAAAAAACTCCAGCTACATTCATCTGAGGCTTGGGAAACCTCATGGAAGAAGGGTCAGAAAGAGTGAATGTAAGACCAAGAGGACCAGGAAGTCACTGTGAGATTGTGTCTTCCAGCTATGATAATAAAGCTACACTCAAGAAATTTCAACCACACGACTACCTAAACAAGACATGAACAATTCCAGCACCAGTTGACATCCCAATGTAGATGGAGGAAATCCCACTGGCATCCCAGCCCTAACTGGGAAGCTACAGACAACTCACAACTGATGAGAGAGGGAGAATTGGTGTTCCCCATGGATGAGACCTTTGACTGGTTATCAAACACCAAGGGGTCAGTCCTAAAAATATATACATGCAGACAACACTAACTTACTTGACTCAGTAGGTCACATTTATATGTTGATTCATTTATATGCATATGTAACAACTGGTCAAAGCAGAGGAGGCCATGGATTTGGGAGGAACAGGGGGAAATATGAGAGGCACAGGGGGAGGAGAAAAATGGGGGAAATAGTGTAATTATATTTTAATTTAAAAAAAAAAGAGACCCAACACAGCCCACATCTCGAGGCTCCCATCTTAACAGGCTGATGATATGGGGGGAATGTGCAGTGTTTCTACAGCACATCCAAGAAATTTTCTGCTTTTATAGAAATAAAATAGTTGAATTTCAGAAAACAAATATTTTAATATTTTTCTGCCATTGTTCTTCAGCATGTATCAAATTAGTATATCTTTGGATTTATTCTACTAGTGCACTTGACTTAAAAGTTTTCTTTAGAAGTTGCTGACTTGAACTTTATAAAAAATCAGGGAGTTTTAGCTTAGAATTAGGACAGGATAGCTGATCATTTTTTAATGACCCTAACATACTTTTGCCAGTTTTAGTTTGGTGTTCTGACCAGTCAGACGAGGGGACAAATCTATTTCCTCTCCTGAGGATATGGTGTGAATGTGCAAGTCACTGGCACAGTTGCTTTGGGAGTGTGCAGATGGGAGCCTGCATGGCCTCCCTTCTCTCTCTGAGATATTCCTGGAGTCATTTGATGGAGTAGCTTGTTCTTTGTAAATCATCCTTTGTTTGTGTTATCTTTGCTACCACTCTCTGAAGAAAAGCTTACATATAACTTTAAAATAGTCCACTATTCCAGGAAGATGAATGAGAGAAACATTGTAAGATGGATAGCTAAATGGTCTTATTAATTAAAAACCCCGGAGCCAGATATTAGGGTAAAAACTGAGAGATCAGAAAAGCAGAAAGAAGCCAGCCACATTCCTTACCACTTGGAAATCCTCAAAGAGACCTACTTCCTGTATACCCACGCCTATATGTCTTTCTGTTCTGCAATTTCACTTCCTCTCTGCCCAGTTACATCACTTCCTGTCTGTCTGTACAGACATCCAGACCTCTATGGTAAGTGCTGGGATTAAAGGCGTGTGTCACCATGCCTGGCTCTGTTCCCCAGTGTGGCTTTGAACTCACAGAGATCTGTATGGATCTCTGCTTCCGGAATGCTAAGATTAAAGGCATGTGTTACCATTGCCTGACTTCTAAGTTTAATATAGTGGCTGGCTTTTTCCTCTGATCCTCAGATAAGCTTTATTAGGGTGCACAATATATTGGGGGGCATAATATATCACCCAAAACATCAGTGTGAGCCTGTCTTTTGATCTACAAACTGCAGAACACCAGATGACATCAGAATGAATATCAAAGAAGTGAAACACTGCGTGATGAATGATTGCTCAGCTGCTCACCGTCTATCTCAGCTAACCTCACCTCCTGGACCCAGACAAGCTTCTCACTGGGTTGACTGTTAATTTGATTCTTTGAACAGTAGCCCTCATCTTCTGGTGAGATAGCTCCTGTGACCAAGTTCCTCCTCTGCCACCATTTGGCCTCTTGACTGGTTGGCTTCCTCCCTGTGGTGAGCATTCTGCTGCTTTACCTGAGCAGTCATGTGCTCAGAACAGCTATGTGTCACCCTGTGACACTGCTTCTCACCACCTCTGTGTGATGTGGCAGTTAAGTTTCTAGACAACAAAAGTAGATGAAACATATTTGGATAGGAATGGAAGACTAGACCCATGTCTACTCTGAGATGACAATAATCTTATATAGAGAAATCCCTAGATACCTGCTAAAAGTTATTAGAGCCAAAAAATGAATTCTGCAAGGTTGCAGGTGACAATGTAACTATAAAAATCAATTATGCTTCTATGCATTAATAATGAAAATGAAATTCCAAGAATAATTCTGCTTATAGTAGTACCCCCAAAACACAAACCCTGGGAAAAAAGTTGTAATCAATGAGGTAAAATGTATACTGTGGAAGTTCTGAGATGCCACTAAAAGAGATAACCTTCAGTAAACATGGAGACACTCTGTGCATGGGCCAGAAGACAACATTTCTTAAAGTTTGTTTCATTGTTACGCACATGCACACGTGTACATTCAACACCCTTAGTGGCCAGAAGAGGGCATCAGATCCCCCATAACTCATGGGAAACTCTGCTACTGTTTACGGAACTCACCACTCAATAGCATTGTGCAAAAAAAAAAAAAAAGCATGCACAATCTATGCCATGTACTGTGCTAGGCTCCAGAGATTTGTCTTAGGAGCTAGACATCCCTAGGGGAAACCTGAGCTTTTTACAGCTCAAAGCATCCATGTTCATTGAATTTGAATCCTTGTATCTAACAACCAAAATCACATTGCATATGTACTTAGCTTTGTTGAGTTTACTTTCTGGCAACTGGCAACTCTCCTGAAAGCTGCTTTCTGTGTCGCAGGTATTCTTAGCTCTCTGGAAAGCAGAGCAATGCTTTCTAGAAACTTAAGCTCATTCTTGATCCGTGAGGCTAGGGCCTTGGTTCATCACTACACAAGGCAACTTCCTCCGACTGGGAACAGACACTCGCTCCAACACTTCACTCTCATCCTTCTAAATATTTACAAGA